GCAGTCGCGGAGGGTGCTCGAACGCTGAAATAGTCCGAGTAGGTCACCATCGTGTGCCTATTAGGCAATTTGTAACGTGATTCCGACAGTAATTCGTCCAGGTACCTGCTCTAGAGCGTGTCTCGATAGAGAATCGATCGTGTACGACTTGATAATATTCAATCACGATTTACGACCCGATAGTTCGAGGATCTTAATATTCTAACAGTAACTTAACACGTTTGATGTGACTCGCGATTACGTTATACGCGCTCCCAGGACATCGGCGTAAAGTCTTATTAATCGTTTTCCAAGCCATATTCGCCGCAACTTCACGATCGTCGCTGTTTGCTCGTTAGGATCGGACGATTCTGATCTACGGGCCCGTCGGATTGCAATTCCCAGGTTTGAAAATGATTTACTTATATATATTGCACTCATTTGCGATATAAAACGGTTGCAGAAAATTAAAAAATAATTTTATTTGTTTATACACAAGAGATATTTGTCGTATCTTTCAATGCGCGCGTTTCCTTCGATTTGAAAAATTTCCGTACGTTGTTAGTAGCCAAATCGTGATTAATACATGGACCGAATGCTGATAATTATCAACCGAGATACGATTTTAAAGATAATAATATGACAGTGGATATTCCTTGCGCAAATAAAAGTATTTAGGCAGAGGGTATAGTGCGATATTTAGACAAATTTAGCCATTTTCCGTTTCTACGTACTGTAAAACGTTTCGATTTCTTCTTATTGGTATCCTAACGAGAATTTCTTGAAAACGTAACATTCCAAATGGACCAGAGTTATAATAAATAAGAGGTTATAACAAGTGAATAAATTGAATCGATAAACAATACACATGTTAGCAAATATTTTTTAGTAAACATTTTCCTCACAATGAGGAAAATGTGACTCACTCTGCTATGTGATTCTAATACACTCAGATGTGTAACTTTAGGGTGTCCCAAAAATGTCTGAGAGGGTTCCTCAGGTCATTTGAAGAAACTTTTTCCTTGGCGAAAATGCAATCCGCGGCTTCGTTTACGAGTTATTAACGAAAAACGGCGACCAATGAGAGACGAGCTCGCTTAGCGCTACACGGCCGAGCCAATGAGGGGAACTGGGCTTCGTACGCTCGTTGGCTGGGCGGCCGCCCCGCGCCAGTCAAACTCGCCTCTCATTGGTCACTGTTTTTCGTTAATAACTCGTAAACGAAGCCGCGGATTGCATTTTCGCTAAGGAAAAAGTTACATCAAATCACCTCAGGAACATGCTAAAATGTATATCATATATACATATGTCAAAATGTTATAAACGCGAGCGAAATAAATTATAAAGTTACTGTAGATTAACGTAACCTAACAATAAATTTGATCGGTAAACAAAACACGCGTTAGTTAACAATAAAGCGCCGTGTTCGTCGCAATCAAAAAAATGTGACTTACGACACTATGCGATTCTGAAAGAAGTTAACACTAGATTTGCAGAGCACAAAAAAGCAGCTGTTTTATATTAGTTTATAAAAGTAACAATAAGACGTTAATTCTGATTTTCAACAAACGCCATTGTAACATTTGCCGTAAGTAACGTATAAATTGTATAAATAACTCATCGACGTACCATTACGATATGAATGATCGTAAATGAAAAAATTAGTGACCCGTCATTTTCACGGGTTCCGTAACATCTAGTATTAAGAACGAGAAATCAGCGCTGACGTAGAATGTTCATCGAAGGTGCTCCAATCATTTTGTCCCTTGGTAGGGCATTTTGCGCGTCCCGCGAAACGGAGCGCCCGATTTTCCTTTCTTACCGTGGAAACGCGAAACTGTTCGCGTGCAGTTTCCAGCGGGAAACGCGGCCGTGGCTGGGCCGGAACCGGGGCCGGCCGAGAACAAAAAGAAAATCGAGTTGACCGATTCGTCGGTTATTCCATTAACTTTGGTCAGTGAGCGGTAACGAAGCGAGGTTCGGTTCAGGGTGCAATGTAAATTGGCGACGAAATGGAAAAAAAAAGGAAGGAAATCGATCGACGGAGGGTCAGAGGGGCGGCGAGGGGGAGGAGAAGGAGGGGGCGGAGTGGCCTGGCGGCGGTAGTCGGCGTGTGTATGGAATTCCCGTTGATGTCCTTTGAGCCTTCAGCGGCGGATGAGAAGCAAAAAGTGCTGGAAACAGGTGTATCCCGGCCGCAGTTCCTGTTTTTCACCGTCCCGTGGCCTCCTCGTCCAGCGGCCGGCTCGCAGCCATCGGTTGGCCTCTGTCGTTGCGACGGGTCACCGTTTTTCCTTTTCATTTGAAAGCGGGGCGCAGAGATCGTTTCGACGCTGTCGATGAGACGCGTTTGAACGTCAAAAAGCGTGACTTATCGCAGTTACGGACGCGCTTTCCCGGGCCGTTTCATTGCGCGCGGGACATTGATATTTCACCGACCGCGGAGAATATTCCTGAGGACGACAAAAGATCGCGCGCGTCCTTCGCGGAGAAATCTGCAGCACGATCGTTCTGTGTCCTCCGCGGGCTTGACGTTTTATTTGCGAGAGGATTTATGTTCGCTCGATGATCACCCCGGGAGCTGCTCCTAAGGAGATTCCGTGCATTCTTGCAGTATTTCTGATAGGAGCCTTGGCGCGGTATCGCGGACTGTTGACAGTGAAATCGATATCGTAGATTGGTACCGTAAATACCGGGGAATCGTCGAGCCCTGGTTTCACCGAACCGTGGAATTCAAGCGTTCCCCGCGTCTTATGACGAAATTGCTCTTTCGAAGGATCCGTGAACCGTCCGCGAGATCCCTGCCGGCCGTGGAACAATTACGTTCCCAATTAAATGGCAATAATCGGCGATGATGCATCGGCCGATCCATCCTTCCGCGACCGGGGCTCGTACGGTAGAACGTAAGGGCGACTACGCTCGCCGAAGAGGATTCCTTTGTTTGACTTCAATTTCTCGAGAAATAGAACTAGACAAATATTTGCTCCGCAGTCTGGCCAGTCGAAGGATCTGAAACTCTAATAAAGTAATTGCGTGTGGGACGGAACGGTACACCGGACGGCTTGAGCGGATACAATCGGTGATGGCACAAATAATAAATGTATTGCGAGAGCGTATTGGTTACTTCGATTGCCGATATACTTCAACCCTTAAATGCGCGACTTTTTTTGTTTATGGTTTCTATTTATCGAGCTTTACTAAAAAATTAGGGTATAGTAAGGGAAAAATAAGAAAGTAAATTAAGTAGAAAGAAATTTAATTATAAAATAGAAAAGCAAATTATATCTTTAATAAATGAAGAAGAGAAAAATATATCTTTTAGAAAAGTATATCTTTATATATAGGAATATAGTTCTAGTTATTTTTTGTAATAAAAAAACTATTTTCCTAAAGATATAATTTTCTTCTTCATTTTTCTCTTCTTCTTCTTTATTTTCCTAAAGATATAATTTTCTTCTTCATTTTTCTCTTCTTCTTCTTTATTTTCCTAAAGATATAATTTTCTTCCTTATTTTTCTCTTCTTCTTCTTTATTTTCCTAAAGATATAATTTTCTTCTTTATTTTTCTCTTCTTCATTTATCAAAGATATAATTTGCTTTTTTATTCTATATAAAATAAAATGTTTATTTTATACAAAATTAATGTTTTATTTAAACTATTTTTTGTCACTGAAATGAATTGCATGCGTCCATTAGCGATATCTTTGTCGTTACGATTTTAATCAAACGAAAATGTTAATGCTTTATTTGTAAGAAATCGAGTGAGACAAATCTGTCCAGTCAGGGCTGAATTACAAAAAAAAACCGTACGGTGACACCACCCGACGGCGAAACGCGGAACCTGCCCATCGCGGAACGCTCGCCAGCTATTACAGTTCCCGCAAGCCCAATTGATCCTTGCCGGTTCGGTCGTATGTCACCGTATTGTTTGCGGCAAGGAAAATATGGGCGGAGACTTCAATACCAAATAAGATGTGAGCGCGCATTTCTCTTCGAACGTCGCGCGATTAATTTGTGCCAGCCCGCTCGTATATCAGAACGAACGCATTCGACAAGAAACGCGTTTGCCATCGCGAACAAATTTTCGATTTTGCAATATGGATATTACGTGTTTATTTCGTTATTTATTTAACGCTGGAAATATCGAATCTAAATTATCGCATCGAAACTGCTTATTTCATAATTATTGAAATCACGTAGACGACTTTGCGGGAAATAATAACAAAATGTTAGCATGAATATCGTGTAATTCAAATTGAATTAAATATTTGCACGAAATCTCGATAATTGCTGTCCCCTTTATTTTCAGAATGCAATGTAAACCAATCAATTTTAGGGCTCGACAGTTTCCATGCGAGCAAGTTCTTCTAAAGTACAAAATATACTTGGATCAGTGAAAAAATAATTATAAATTTGCTCAGCTTATTTTTTGATATTTCTTATTATAGAATAAAATTGTTGTTACCATAGTATCACGGTGAAACGGAAAATCCATTGTCGAACCGAAGATAGAGAAATAAATTTACCGATTTATTTAGCTGTATAAATCGAAACGAAGATCGAGATGTACGTAACTATCGCTTTCGAATTTGATGGCTGAACGCGGCAATTATCCCTGCACCGCCCTAACGAACTCCAACGATGCGGGAAAATTGAATTTTCCTAAGCGCGAATGTTTGCAAATTATGATCAGCACCCGTCAGCGTGATTTGCCCGTAGATTCGTGTACTCGGCTCGGAATAAAGGAGGAGCGGCACATGGGAGACGGAAAGGCACGTTCTCATTCATGACCGCTAATATATTTGCCTCGACTCGCCATTGATTCGCGGGAGACTGCACCTGTGCGCCGAACGTAGCCGAACGCGTGCTCGGCATACGCTTCAAATATGTTGTCTACCGCTGACAAAATACCCACACTACTCCGGCTGTCATACGCGATAAAGTCTGACGTAGAACCTCGATCCGTCAATCGCCTGTTTTATCGCGGCCCGCGATACATCTCCTCAAGATAATACCGGTGAAACAGGGAAGACAGGTAGAAGCTTTTCGCAGTCGTGCATCAGTCATCGCGTCGACAAAATGTTTCCGCGAACCGTTCTGCTGCTTCTACTTTCTTGCGTTGCCAGCAGTCTGGCGTTGGAGCTCGTGGTATGTGCATATTAACCTTTCCTTCTCTCTGCAAACTCGCGCCGAGTTGTTAACGCTACACCTGCCGGCGCCGCCAAATGATCGCTTTTTAGACCTCGTGCGAAATTTTTAAATTTAATGTTTTCCCTTTTCCCATCGGCTTGGTGCACGAGCTATGTACACTTGTTTAAATATATTACATATATTATATATATTAATATATTATTATACATATATATTATTACATATATAAGATATAGTATATATATATATATATATATATTATAGCATATAAAAGATATATTTATATATAAATATATTATTATATATATGAGATATACTTATATATCAATATATTATTATTTATATTATTACATATATAAGATATACTTATACATTAATATATTATTATATATATTATTACATACATAAGATATATTTACATATTATATACACACTTATATACTCAACTTAGCATACAAATCTATAATATACAGGGTGTCCCAAAATTATTGTACAAGCGAGAAATGAGGGATTCCTGAGGCTATTTGAAGTAACTTTTCCCTCAGCGAAAATGCAATCCGCGGCTTCGTTTGCGAGTTATTAACGAAAAACGGTGACCAATGAGAGGCGAGGCGCTAAGCAGTCGAGCCAACGAGCGCACGAGGTCCAGTTCCGCTCATTGGCTCGGTCGCTTCGCGCCTCGTCTCTCATTGGTCAGTGTTCATCGTTAATAACTCATTAACGAAGCCGCGGATTGCATTTTCGCTAAGGAAAAAGTTACTTCAAATGACCTCAGGAATCACCCTTCATCGGATGTTTACATAATTATGGGACTCCCTGTACAGCTACTTAATTCTTCAATATCTATCTGTCTTCTTCCTTCGTTTTTTCTGATAATCTTACGTTCCTTGCCATTATCTATCGTGAGCGGCTTTACGACCACTCGAAAAATGTATGAACTTTTATAACGATATCTGCACTGAAATCACAAACTTATCATCGTTATTAGTTTTCCAAGGACACCGTTATCCGATTGCGTTTTAGGCACAAGTAGCACGCTTACGCGTAGCACGTTTATTATTCATAAAAAAAAAAATAGTTAAAATTTCGCTGAAATTGTCGAGCGAGAATTTTCAATTAAATTCAAAAGTAAACTTTCAGTAATTTTGTTTGCGCTCATAACAGCGCGTTTGCTGTGCGTGATCCGTATGCGCGTCATGATCATATTTGTTCATATTTAAAACTAGAACTATCGTGCGCTGACGGTGAATCGTTTGTATTTTAAATATGCGAGACAATTTCCATAATTATCGAGAAAAGAATATTTTTAGTTTGTATTGTTTTAAACGGAGAAACTTGGAACGCGTCACTTCGATATTGTGAACTTTATACTTTATTATTAACTATGCCTTCAAGTTACGCAAGAAATACCAAGAAAATGCATACAATATTCATAGAACGTAATTGACGTTAGACAATAATTTCTTCTTACGTTTAGCTTGAAATATATTTTTAATGCTATCTCGCAGAACGATTGTGAACAGTAAGAAAAGTGAGAAATAACCGATTGTCAGCAATTGTAAAAACGAGTCGCGAGGCTCGAATAATCGTGTCTCCTCTTCCTAAATTGTTCATTTTTGTGCACAATCTCAGCGTCAATTACGGAGAATTTACTGTACACTCGTCGTAACAGAAAATGTTGCCATTTCTTCGCGACGAGTATACTCGTCGAAGATATCTAACTGGTCAATCACTTAGCCGAGCCAATCGTGTCTCCTCTTCCCAAATTGCCCACTTTTGCACACAATCTGAGCGCCAATTACAAAGAATTTACTGTCCACTCGTCGTAACAGAAAATGTTGCCATTTCTTCGCGACGAGTATACTCGTCGAAGATATCTAACTGGTCAATCACTTAGCCGAGCCAATCGTGTCTCCTCTTCCCAAATTGCCCACTTTTGCACACAATCTGAGCGCCAATTACAAAGAATTTACTGTCCACTCGTCGTAACAGAAAATGTTGCCATTTCTTCGCGACGAGTATACTCGTCGAAGATATCTAACTGGTCAATCACTTAGCCGAGCCAATCGTGTCTCCTCTCCCCAAATTGTCCACTTTTGTGCACAATCTGAGCACAATTCTTCCAATTAGGAAGAATCTCTGTACACTCGTGACAGAAATGTTTACAATCCGAGCGTCAATTAGAAAGCATTTATCGTACTCACAATTATAAACCGGTCGCAGGTGAACGATAGACTGCGTTCTCAAACGCGCGGCAATTCGGCTCGCGAGTGGCGCGGCGTGAACGCATGAATTGCAAGGGAATCGGAAACGCGAGCGCAGACGTTTCCCGGTTAAGCGTGCCAGGCAACGGTCCCCCCGGCAATTGGCGTTAAATTCGCAGTCGGCGATACCGTAGGCCCCCGTTGGGCGTCGAACGGTTACGAGTGAACGAACTTTAAACCGGAAGTTGCCCCGTTTTCGACGGAACCCCGTAACAATCGTGCGACGAGTGCCAGCTCGGCGGCGGCGGCGGGCTCGTAAACTAGCCCGCGCGGAAAGTCTCCGTGTGCCGTCGCGCGATTAAGCTGTTTACGCGGCCGATACCGCGTTTTCGGCTCGAGCAATCCTAACGAAGCAAGTTGAACAATAAGCCGGTCCGCCGTAGAGAAGCCAGAGCCTGTCCGCGGAAACTTTTAATGAGAATCCTCGAATGGTGGGGGAGGGAGGGGGACAGAAGGTGGACGGATAAGTCGACGATTTCGTCCGTAGAATCAGCTCGATTCCGCTGGGGAGCTCGGCCCCGAAAAATCGGCGAGCACCGCGGCGAGAACGACTGGCCTCGCCGTCCAAAGGGATCGTGCCTTATCTGGCCGTGCCTTACTAGCTTGGCTACCGGAATCCGGGCTTCGGCCCTTCCGTCGCACCGCCACGGCAAACATTCCCCGGAGATTAAATTTCTTCGCGGAGTGGGGCGGCTTTCTTTTTGAAGAGCGCCGGCGAATCCACTTGTAGCACCGAGAGGACTCCTTGTTGATTCAATTAAGAATTTCTTCGGCGCTCTCTTCTCTCCCATGAAAATTCCGGCCGCTCTGTTTCTCCGTTGACAAGATTCTCCGGCCTCCCTTATCGCCGTAAAAAATGCAGATCCCTCGGCTTTATCCGCCTACGGGGCTTAAGGATTCGGCGGTTCTTTTTTCTTTCTTTTTTTACGGCCCGAACCGGAAGTCCCTCGTTCCTTCGGACGGATTCTCTCGCATGGTGTTCCCCATGTTCAGTCTCTTATTGTCGCGGAGGAGATTTCGCGTATCTCGGTATTATAAACGAGCACGATGGCCGAGTTTGATAGGGCGCGGCGGGACGCGAGCCTCGAAGAAAGCGAGCCTTGGTCCGCTTGATTTAAAGGGACCGAACCTCTTCTTCCTCCGTGTCGCGCGTTCGAGGAAATGACCGAAGTTTTCTCCGGTTTAATTAATTTCTTGCTCGTCGAGGGCGAACCGGCGAGCCGCCGGGATTTTGTTTGACTAGTTAGCTCTCTCGCGTTCGGTTAAACAGAACAATGGGCTGGTTGGTTCCCGTGTCGGGAACGAGGACGAAGGAGGAGAGGGCGAATACGCCGCGCTCCCGGGAAACACGCGCCCAAAACTGGATTATAAAGTTCTGTTGTGTTATCACTGCTTAAGGGATTAACGCCTCCTTGCACGGCGCCCGGCCGGAATCCTAATCAGCCGTGCTGCTGTTCGAAACGCAAGCCAGGTTGCCCGGTTCTCGGCGAGGAGAGAGAAAAAAACAGCTACACGGAATACGTGCACGACCGGTCGTCGATCAATGATTCGGCTGTCTTTCGATTTGCTCGCCTCGTTCTTTGCGGCAAGGAGAGACCAGACTACAGGGTGTCCCGGAATTATTGTACAAGCGTTCCTGAGGTGATTTGGTGTAACTTTTTCCTTTACACAAATTTTCTCCGAGGCGTCGTTAACGAGTTATTAACGGGAAACGATTGACCAATGAGAGGCCAGCACGGCTGACGCGCGGCGGTCGAGCCAACGAGCGCGCGAAGCCCAGTTCCGCTCATTGACTCGGCCGCTTAGGAGCTCGTCCCTCATTGGTCACGGTTTTTCGTTAATAACTCGTAAACGAAGCCGCGGATTGCATTTTCGCTAAGGAAAAAGTTGCTTCAAATCACCTCAGGAACTCCTCGTTTCCCGCTTGTACGATAATTTTCGGACACCCTGTAGATTGCGGATCAATACGCGATATTTCTGTACTGAAGAGAAAATTCTGTTTGGTATTTGATAATGCGCTGCGAAGCCTTGGCGCTCTTATCGATCGCCAATAGATCGTTTCAGTGATTAATCGTGCTTCGTTTCGAGTGATTAGTTGTGTTGTTACACTTGCAGCGGATTGTGTTTATACGAATCCAATTTTAACGATGCCTGGTTAACCGAATTCCATCCGGGACCGTATCCCTTTGTTCATATGAATGTGGACGCCAATTAAATGAAAAATCAGTCAATGATGGGAGACGAGGTGAATTCTTGTTATATGAAAAATCTGATTCTGTGGAGCAACTCTCGATAGACTCATATAAATGGAATTTTATCGTATTTGGTGAAAACACGTTGGAGAGAAATGCATATAAGCGAATGGTGCATAAAATATTTAGTTGAATTGGGAAACCGGAAATTGAGAAGTTAATCCTCTGTTACAGTCCGAATTTTGTATGAGTATAAAAACGTTTATGTATCCTTGAAACCGGGAAATAGCAATGTTTGCGTATAAATGAACAACGAATCAACTTCGAAGAGATAAAATTTAAAAATCCTGGTTTATAATCTTCTGTATTATTTTTGCACCGTTGTGGCTAAACATGAAATTAGGCTAAACGCATAGCTATCTAATCTCTAGAGTACATTAAGCCACAGAGGGTTGAATATTGTATTTCAATAACTGAATGTGGATCTCCTTGTTATATGATCATATAACTGTAACACAATATAGCATAATATTGTTATATATTGAATCATAATATGATTCTATACTGTCTTTATAAATCACTCTGGTGTACATTAGTCGCAAATATTATGTCAGTAGTCGATCTTTAAATAGAAAAAAACGAAGAAGGATCTATGTCGCGCGCAACGTTGATACAGGATGTGTTGACGTCACGTGCGTCCCGCTATTGACACTTACCGCACTGACACGTTATTCCTTCTTATCTCTCATATTTTTGTTTTTAGCCTTGCAGCCGTGAAATTTGGACTTTGTTTACAGTTCTTCTATCTTACGTCACGCATTTCTTTTTTCTATTCTCTCTCTCTCTCTCTCTCTCTCTCTCGCTCTCTCTCAATCTCTTCAGTGGAGAAACCTAAAATTGAAAATTTATTATATTACATTATATATATATATTTTATATTTTAATACATTATATTACATTATACTAGATTACGTTATATTATATTACATCATACTACATTATATTATATTACACTGCATTACATTATATTACATTGCATTATATTATATTACATTGCATTATATTATATTACACTGCATTACATTATATTACATTGCATTATATTATATTACACTGCATTACATTATATTACATTGCTTTATATTATATTACACTGCATTACACTATATTACACTGCATTACATATTTATACATTACATATTTAGTCATTATATTACATTACATTACATTGCATAACATTACATTACATTACATTGCCTTACATTACGTTACATTGCATTATATTGCATTACATNCATTACATATTTATACATTACATATTTAGTCATTATATTACATTACATTACATTGCATAACATTACATTACATTACATTGCCTTACATTACGTTACATTGCATTATATTGCATTACATTACGTTACATTGCATTATATTGCATTACATTACGTTACATTGCATTACATTGCGTTACATTACGTTACATTGCGTTACATTGCATTACATTACATTACATTACGTTGCGTTACATTGCGTTACATACGTTACATGACGTTACACGACGTTACATTACGTTACATTATATTACATTACATTACATTAAATTACATTACGTTACATTATATTACATTAAATTACATTACGTTACATTATATTACATTACATTACATTACATTATATTATAGCTGTTTCGTTGTTGTAATAAAATAAGTGGATCTATGTTTTTGGAGACTATCCGAACAACCTATTAAATACAGTATAAACAGCAATAATTGTAAACCGCGTTGTCATAGAAACTCGAAAATATAACATAGCTTAACAATTAGCTTTCGTTCCACCGATCTTCTTTATCTTTGATATTTCGCTATTCGCAATTGTAACTAGTAACAAGAAGTGGATCGTTCGGCATGCCGTAGATAGCATGCATACCGTTTGCATATTGTTTGCTTAGCATACGAAAATGAATAAACGTAATGCTCACAAAAGTCGGCAAGAAAACATAACCGTAGAAAAGTCGCAGAGCAATTGCGTTCGTATTGAAAATAAAACATTGGACTACGTTGCGAACAATTGCTGCGAAAAGACTGCAATTCTCGATTACACACGGAAAGCCCATAAGAGCCGCTACAGTCTAAAGTTTCCTGCAGCTTATTCTCGTAGGTCTTAACAACACACATGCGCGAACTAATTCATTACAATGCATTTTACAGGAGACCACGACCGAAGCCGGCAAATTAACCTCGCTGTCCGAAGTGGAAATTCTTCTATCAATAGCAGCGTGCGCGTTCGCTTCCATCGCAGTTGTAATCGTGCCAACGATGCTTTATTAGTAAGTACACTTTTACGAAATTGTTTTCGCCTGTTCCTCCATTCTTATCGTTCTTGCCGTAAACGTTCGCAGCACGCAAAACAAAAAGTTACCGTAATACGGTACGCTTTGTGTTAACGAAATACCGTGCCCCGAGAAATGATAAGATTAGCAGCACATATCAGCAGTGCTTCGATTCAGGCTTTACCGGATCAATCCGCATCGTACATAAAGAAAATCTCGTCGTCGATTTCAAAATCGTTCGATCGAATTGAAAATACGTGTATCGCAATCGTTCAAGCTTTTGCATTATCTTTCCAGCAAATTCTGCGGCGCACAATTGCAACACGAAGACGACTCGCAAGACCGAAAACGTTTATCGATTTAATTATGCGAAACCGTCGATCCGATCGTAGAAGAATCGCTTCTTCGTTGTAAGCTAAAAAATGCTGAGAGCGTTGCGTTATCGTTACGATGTGAATCTAGGCACTTTTAGAACACGATTTTCAACCGATTAGAAGCTTCGAGAATGATAATAAATATAAATGAGCTGTTTCAAGCGAAAATGTTGCAAGCCAATTTGTTTGCTAGGTTAATTTAATGTTATTAAATCACGTTTAATTTAATATCTCATTTGATTTCTCGTTATTATTCGAAGTTAAAGCTTGAAAGTGGCTTACGTAAAACAGTTGCCACGATTATTTGCGTTATCGCATTTTACGAAACTTTTCATTCATCCTCTGTTATCCACAAATTAACTTTTTCAACTTACATCGTTTCTGCTTTAAACGGCTCGAGTATGAAATTCTATGAGAATCTACGGTCGTCCGACTCCCGTATTTAATTTACAATTAATTTACCTCGACTGACATTGATATTCGATGAATAAAGAAATACGCTTTTTTAACGTGCAATATCTTTTATTACTCTTTGAAACTCGACCTATCAAACTCTAGAGCATAGTTCCCGTGTTATTCCATCCCGTATCGGGTATACCGAAAACAACGTCACTGATAAAATCGAAATTTCACTGGCATCGACTGGAAAGTTTAACGTTAAATTCCGAAACAAGCAGCACGTACGATTATCAATTTCATTGGTGGTTTCGAGAGCGGAGAGTACAGCGGTCGTCTCTAACCATCGTTATACAAAACTTTCTAGCCCCGTTACCCGTGCATCGTAAAATGTTGGGGGAAATTCCTGCGGCACGGTATCCTCTGCGCAGACATTAATATCGCCGGGAATAAAGAGCGGCAAACCGATCGTACGAGTTTTTACGTCTGACAGTTAACGATTTAGACAGATTTTATAAACTTCTGGAGTTTCGGAATAACAAGAGCGTTGCTGTACGGTAATTTCGCCCAGAGATGTTCGGAGGTCGGGAATTGAAACCGGCAGATCTGAGAATAATAAGTCGCGACTGTTCGAGTCTCGCGGCTCGTTTTTATAGAAATTGAGGGCAGACGGCTAAAAAGGCAGTGGCCTGCGTGCTGATACAGATTATTATGAATACATAGTAATGCTAGGACGAAAACGATGACTTAACTTTTTTATTTCTAATTTCTTGCCACGGTTCGAAGGCAATTCGGAGGCCACGTGACACGATTCCAAGGCAATTCCGAGGACACGTGACACGATTCGAAGGCAATTCGGAGGTCACGTGACATGATTCAAAGGGAATTCCGAGGATAAGTGACACGATTCGAAAGCAATTCGGAGGCCACGTGACACGATTCAAAAGCAATTCCGAGGACACATGACACGATTCCAAGTCAATTCCGAGGACATGTAACACGATTCGAAGGCAATTCGGAGGACACGTGACACGATTCCAAGGCAATTCCGAGGACACGTAACACGATTCGAAGGCAATTCGGAGGACACGTGACACGATTCCAAGGCAATTCCGAGGACACGTAACACAATTCGGAGGCCACGTGCCGCGATTTAAAGGGAATTCTGAGGATAAGTAACACGATTCAAAGGCAATTCGGAGGCCACGTGCCGCGATTCAAAGGCAATTCGAAGGCCACATGCCATGATTCAAAAATTCGGAAGCCACATACCGCAATTTAAAGGCAATTCGTAGGCCACATACCATGATCCAAAAATTCGGAGGTTACATGTCGCCATTTAAAGGCAATTCGAAGGCCACATGCCATGATTCAAAAATTCAGAGGCCACATTACACGATTCGAAGGCAATTCGAAGCCCACATGACACGATTCGAAGGCAATTCGGAGGCCACATACCACGATTCGACGGTCATGTACCTATTATCTACCGCATAGAGTAAATTATCTATAATTAGCGCCCAATTTGTGCACAAAAATGGACAATTTGGGAGAATGAGATACGATTATTGTTATATAATTACTATTTTTATCATTGTTGGCGATCGGTAACTATAAAAACGAGCCGCAAGGCTCGAATAATCGTGTCCCCTCTTCCCAAATTGTCCATTTTTGTGCACGATCAGTAAGGGAGACATTACTGTAGTGACAATGAAGACTAAATTAAGGTCAAATTAAATGAAAATATAATATTTAAAAGTTAAATTCCTTATACAGAACTAAAAAGAATGTTTGTTTTTAATGAATCTATCTCCGTGTTATAGGAGGGTTTCGTGTACTAATTATTACGATTTTGTTTTCATCTATCTCGACTAATGTACCACTTCGACAGTGATGAAACGCGTTCGAAAGAACGAGTTTATAAACATTGCAATCGAAATGGTTGACGATGCAAAAATCAATGTCCAAGAAAGCAACATTTTTATCGAACAAAACGTGCAAGTTAATCGATCAACGTGCGAACACGATAGAATAATAAATATAACCGTGCCATCGTTCGTTTAAAATGACCGACGAATTAAGTGGAATTTCTGTGTTATTTCTGATTCTGGTATTTGCGACACCGAGTTTGGTTTTCGGCCTCTATAAACGGGGGTAGGGAAAGCTCTGTGTGAAAATTTCTCGCGCGACACGTTGTTCAAATCGAATGAAAAATTCCAATCGACTCCGGTCAATTCGAAAGGCAGATGCCAAGCCATCCAAGAAATTGGGGACCGCGCGTCGACTCCAGTCAAAAATCAATTTCCGATGCGATTAAAGCCCCGCGGATGAGCAGCGTGTTGCGTATCGGGCCGGGTATCCGATGAAACGTATCGGCGATTCCGTTGTTCGCGTGACGTCCACGGCAAACAAACGAGTCGGAATGCGAACCGTTTCCACCCGCGCCGTACCCCGTAATAATATGATAAATTCAGCCGATCAATTTGCTTCGGCCCCCGCGGATATTCCATTAAACGAAACACCCGGTTTAGCGCAAATAAACGTTCCGCACAGTGACGGACGACCACCGCTGGCCCACGTTTTTACATCTGTGTCGCGCGATTCCCGCGCAGTTTGCGAATTATTATGCAGTAGTAGCGTTAATAATACGACGCCGCGTGGCCGTAGTTTGCACGGTACACACCGTTATTCGGCTACATAAATGCTGCGCGTGGTCCGGGCTGGTTCTAGATAATCAAGGAGAATTTACTTTTCGTCGCGCATATTGAAACCAAACCGTATCGACGAGCAGTCTACAAACACACACGCACACACATACGAAAAAAAAGCCGAGCAGGACGTTGCGCTTTTCGGTTATGCCAACGGTATTTCGTATCGATATATCCGGGGTTTACACGTTCACGTAGTTATTATAATTACCTGACGATCTACACGAACGCCACGCGGAATGCAAACGCGTGCTAGCTTTATTCTTCCTTTATTACAATTGATTATTGTCGAGCTTAATTCGATGCCGAGCTAAACTCGTGATGAGAATTTCGAACGGAACTCGTTGAACGCGAATGTGGTGTCGTGAAAATAAAACGGCGGCTCGGCAGCCGATCAGTGTGGAAGTCTATTAAAATTCGAACGGCGGACTCTCCTGGGTCTGTTTGGACCCGGACTCGAAGAATTCATACCGCGAGTGTCAAATTTCTGACAGCTAATTTCAATTTTCACATGTTCCGACGAAACCAACGTATCTGAAATGAATACCGTAACAATCAACTTGGATACGATTCTTTTGATTGACGCTGGCAATAATAGCTTGGAAATTTTAGATTTCAAAAAAAAATTTTCGAAGATGGCGGTATTATAAATTCGTAAAATTAAGATATGTCGTCCAAGAATTTTTGTATTTGATTCTTAGTTAAATAAGCACAATGCTATAGTTAGTTTGCTGACTTTTAACACCCAAGAAATGAGCCGTTTATTTTGAAAGTGGCATAAGTCACTTTACCGTAATGAAAAGTGGTAATTTTTCAATGTTTATACGAAATTATTTATACTGAGAAAAATATCAGTATCCTGAGATAACAAATACAAGTAAATCTTCTCGAAAGTTAGCATCCATATTTTGAAACGTGTTAAAACGCAAACCCTTAAATATATCGACTTAAAAACAAAGTGACTTATGCCACTTTCAAAATAAACGGCACAAATATAGTTCAAATGTTATTTCAGTTTTTTTCAAATGGCACCAATTAACCCCTTAACGCGCAGAAACGTATTAACACGGGCGTGCAAAACCGGCCAAAATGTGCAGACCCGTATATATACGGTCGGCGTCGCAACTTATGTTATGTTACCTATATTAATTGAAAAACAGTACGATGGGTACAAAATTCGATCTGCAATGCGATTCAATATTCATTATAATTAATTATCCACTATTTTTATTGGATTTTTAGTAATTTTTGCATTTTTTTTACATATTTATTGAAATTAAGGTCCAAATATGTATTTTCTTAGATAAAAAAAATGGATTTTTTTTGGTCGATTTTTTTTTTTAAATTGTGCATTAAGGGGTTAAAACGGTATCACCGGCATACAACGGATATTTTTTGCCGCCGGACGGCATAGTGTTAAAATACACGAATACATTTAGTCCTCGCGATATAATCGCAGTTTAAACGCGAACTATTCCTTCGCGAAGCGCGAACTCGTCGTAACAGAAAATATTGCCGCAAGTATACTCGTCGGAAACAGGTAACCGGCGAACGGCAGCCATAAGCGCTTTTGATAGCAGTCGCGAACGGCGTTCGAAAAAAGGAAAAAAAAACACAAACATATTCGTATCGTCGCCGGGCGAGTAATCGCATGCTCGATATGGTTTTCGGCGCGATCGAGCGCACCGAAACCGTGTCTCATAAATTCGCGGCTGTCGTCGGGCATGCGGTACGGCCGGGCGTGACAGTATAACTCGTGTACATAAAACTCTTATAGCGTGAATGGCGATATAAAGTTTAATACGGCCTCGAACTTTCGCGGATTATGATCGAGAAGGCTTGTCTCGCTGGCGCGGGCCGAGCGTTTCCCCGGCTACGCTCCGTCGCCGCGCGGCGCGGCGCGTCGCGGCATCGCAAATTCGAAACGTTTCTTTAAGGCATGAGGACATCGGGGCTTTTATAACCGGCGAGAAGCTTACTCAGGAATTTTAGAGCTACTCACCGCGCGGCTCTCTTCCGTGGAAGTTGTAACTCCCCGGCGTTCGTATATATGGAAAGTTCCAGCCTGTAATTTCACTCGGCGCCGTCGTCGGCCAACGTGAAAATACACCGTCGGTCGTTCCGCCGCGTCGTCGACGCAATGCGATTTTTAGTTTCCGATTTCGTCGTCGCATTGCGCGCGTGAATCGATCCCGTCCCTGTCCAGAATGGAAGAAACGATCTCGCAGATGATGATCCAGTGATCGTCCATCGTTTCTCTTCGCATGATAATAGCGCGCGATATCGATCGCCAGTATGTTCCCGTTGAACGGTAAGCACAATTTTATCATCTGCCGACAATACAGTGCTCGAACGGATTGGCAGACAGTCACTTGGCGCTCTGTGTTTATTTAGCTGTCGACATTATTTAGTCTGGAAGATAAACACGCACGCTCGAATTAGGTTCGCCGAAACACGTTCACGCCGGCACACGATGCTTCGAGCATAAAGGCGTTCGAGGCTGAAATCATAGATTTCGAACTTTTTAGTTTTATTTAATTTAAGGAGCAGGTATGATAATCATTTTTTATAGGTAATATAATATAATTAGTATAATAATAATAATATAATATAATTAATATAATAATAATAATATAATATAATTAATATGATGATAATAATAATATAGTATAATTAATATTATGGTAATATAATATAGTTTTGTAGGTAAGATTAATCGATTTGTACATGAATAATATATGGTTCTGTTAATAAAGATTGGGATTTATTTAATTACTTATTTTTAAGATTGAAAATGTTAATTTTGAACGAAATATTTAGTGCATTTATTTTCCGACTCGTTAAATGATTCGAAAATTTATCTGAAAAAAAGAAAAATAGGATAGAGAAAACAGAATATTGGTAGATTGTTGTAAGATTTTTTTTTTACAAAATTATAAGAATTATAATTCTATATATTATATATATAGAATTATGGCTATTTTGTACGAAAGTTTACTTTAAAGAAACTAAAGCAATAATTGTTTATTTGTGTGAATTATTACGTATGCGTGTATATATATACGCGTGGAAAACGCAGTAAAAAATTTCATCGGAAGAATTTCTTGAAATTGTTACATTCTCCTTGATTTGTTAACATTGTTAAAAGGAGAATTACGTTCCTATTCGACTTCTGTCTTTTGCAATTCAGACAGACAATTTTTACTGTGCACACAAATCCGCGGTGTAATAATTACAGTTTTATTTTGACAAGACAACATTCTATAATAACAACAGACACATTCTATAGACAATAACATTTTATAGACAAGATAACATTCAACAACGACGATGTAGAATTGTAATCTGTTCAAAGAATATTTTGTTGAAGTTATAAAAAAGTTTAGAGCTTTTGTAGATGATCATAAAAAATGCAGCGAACAAAGCTATGAAACAAGAATGCAGTTTTAAGCAGAAGAGTATAAATAGATATTTGGATTGAAAAATTGAATGACAGGAATGCCGAATCTTCAAAGCATCAAAGTAAATTCTTCCTAATTTAGCTTGTAAACAAAAATGAAGAATTTAGGAATTATTCGAGTCTTCCCGCTTTTATAAATGTTGACAATAAAATATTATAAAATATTATAAAATATTATAACTATTAAAACGAGCCGCGAGGCTCGAACGATCGTATCTCCTCTTCTCAAATTATCCACTTTCGTTAACAAACCGAACGAAAATTGCGGAGAATTTACTGTGATATTTTAACCGGTTTCCCTTCCGAAACAGACGCCCCGCTCTCTCCCCTATTCTACACTTTCTTCGAGTGTATTTTACCCTATCGTTTCCCCGTTCGGTTTTCAGCTTCCGCCAACAATTCAGCGTTTCTACGTTTCTACACGCACCCGCGTACCCCGACAGATTGAAGCCGAGCACTTTGCAACACGCTATCGAGATTGCATGAGTTCTACAAACTCAAGCGGCCTGTTCTCACGGGGCAATAAAATTATTACAAGCACCGATGAATCCTGATTGCATAGCGCCGGCAAGCGCGGCTTAACTTATTCACACGGCGCAACGTTCGATGAAATCGACAAATGAACGAGTAGCAGAAGTTCGCGTCGATGGCGGTGGGGTCCATTACCATTTCACGAGGGGATGTTGATTCCGAGAAGTTACGTTCTCGTTACCGGAAGTAGACGCGTAATCTCGGCTTAACAGTCCGATCCGCGAGGATTGCATGGACATCGGCGAAAAGACTGCCGGGCGACACTGTCCATCGTTTTCCCAGTTCGTTCGGCATGGGATTCCGCGTGACACCGAGAATTGCGATCGCTTTCACGAAAGCCAGCGTCGCTCTGACGTGCGCCTGGCCACCGTCGCTGAGTGCGACGAAAGCTGAACTTTTGTTCTTCAAGGTGCTGTGGTGTGCCGCGTTCACCAGCTCGATCGGACTACTTTTGCCGTTGTTCAACGCGATTTGTGAGTACTACAACGAGCCTATCATTCTCGGGAAGAATGTGAGCCTCTTTGCGGCTGTGGCGCAAGTGACCATTAAAATGGTAGTGTGTCGGTTGATGCAACAGCGGTTTCGGGTAAGTCACTCGGGCAGCGATGCGTTGGAACAGATATGGGCAACCAACGGGCTGCGATCCTGATATGAGTGGCTACTTTGTTTGATTTTGCTCCGATCCATGGTGGTAGAAAGCGTCGTTATATCAGGTTGGTGCATATGAAATGCCGGATTTTCTTTACATGCGAACGTTTGTCTCGCTGTTTTCGTTGTGCTTTTGTTTTCGGCATAAATTCGTTTATAGTCGCACCGTCCACTGCCAGAGTCACGTTTCAACAAAGAAGATTTTCACAAAAGTGTTCAATTTCGTTATTTGTTTTGAATTTCGTAAAGATATGAATTCAACCGATATTCGTGTACTTTGTTTAGATGAGTATAAACTTGGTAATAATGCTGCGAAAGCTGCGCGCGATATAAACCAGGCGTTCGGGGAGAATTAACGATCGAAAAGTGCAGCGTTGGTTCGAAAATTTTCGGTCCGGTGATTTTTCCCTAGAAAATGAACCGCGTGGAAGACCCAAAACGTCTGTGAAAAATGATGCTCCGAAAGCATCGATGGAAACGAATGTGACCGGAGTAATTCGCTACTCGTTCCTTCGAACCGAGGAGACAATTACAGCCGAAATGTACTGTCGGTACATCGATGAAACGCACGAAAAATTGAAAATTATACGCCCATCGCTTGTTAATCGGCGTGGCCCGATACTTCTCCGCGACAACGCTCGACCGCACACGTCGTACAAAACAATTGCGAGATTAAACGAATTAAAATATGAAATTTTGCAGCAGCCAGCTTATTCGCCGGATCTTTCGCCAACCGACTTTCATTCTTTTAAACGTTTAGAACAGTTTTTACGGGCTAAACGGTATGAAAATGAAGACAGTCTGAAAAATTCCGTATCAGAGTTTATTGATTCTAAAGATCAGAATTTCTTTAAGACAGGCATCTGTGCATTGAAATCTCGTTGGGAAAAGCGTATCGAAGCGAATGGAGCATATTTTGAATAAATAAATAGCTTTTGAAAGAAGATACGCGGTTTTATATGTTCACTTAAAAATCCGACGTTTCATACGCACCAACCTAATAATATAAATCAATCAAATACGAAGTAGCAATTTGTTTGACCGCTTTTAACACTGTGACCACCGTGTCACTCATATATGGGTGACAGAATTGTTTACCGAGATTCATTTTCACGCTATTTTACCTTCTCGATTTTATTACGATTCGTGTAAGAATTGATGTCGTACAGAGAATTGAGATATAATTGACGTCATACAATTTAACTTTTCAATTTTAATTTGTCTAAATCAAGTACCTCAAGTTTGAGAAAATTTTGAAGTCGATGACGTGGCAGACACAGTGCATATTCGTGACAATTTATTTTCTTGAATAATTTGAATTTTATCGAATTAATTTGCCCATCTCTGTGTCAAACTGTCGACAAAGAAACAGATTCGGAGAGAACGCGTTTTCAGAGATTGTTCTTCGATCTGGAGACATTCTGCAGACACGCGACGGAGGAAGAAAACGTTGTTCTCCAGCGTCACGTGGACCGATATAAGTATAGTCACGGAATTTACACGGCGTGCTGCTTTCTCACATCTATTTTCGTGATATGCGGCCCGTTGTACTCGCCCCAGGATTTCCCCACGCACGCAAAGTACCCTTTTCCAGTGGAACACCAGCCCGTCAGAGGTATTATTTTTCTCCATCAAGCGCTAGTCGGCTTCCAGGCTTCCGCCGGAATGGCGATCGATGCTCAGATTGCACTTTTACTGCGGTTCGCAACGGCCAGGTTCGAGATCCTGGGAACACAATTGGACAGAGCGAGGTCTGAAAGCGAATTCAATGCCTGCATAGAGAAACATACGAGACTTCTGAGGTAAATGATGCACCGGTCTTATTTTAGGCTTCCAACGCACGCCAATGTACTCGCAATGTACTTACAAACATTCGGGACCCGAACCGAAGGTCGGATGTCCGATACAGATATCTGAAAATAATACATTACATCGCGGTTTAGTTTATTTGTTACAGTACAAAGCTATCTAGTACAATGTACAATAATTTCTCCCGGAAATGCTGTATTTCGGGTTGCTGTGAATTTCCCTGTGCTAGTCCTACGCCTATGTAATTTATTGAAAAGATACTGAAATATATATATATAAATAATGTCAAATTACTATTATATAATATAATAGTATATAATAATTATTATAATATACTATTATTTATATATATACTAAAAAAAGGTACTCTTATCAGGTACCGAAATAGAAATTCAATTACCATAGGCCAAGGTAATTAAAAAATTAATCAATTAAAAGAAAAAAAAGTATCAGTAGGCTACGGATCTTTATGCAAGATAAAAATTGTCTAAGTTCATTGTAAGATACATGAGTTAAATGAAATTGTCTTTCCTCTTCTAATAATTGCAATAAATTAAAAATAATGAAACAATTACCTTTAAGTCTCTTAAAGTCTTTAATTTTGTGTATCTTACCTATTAAATAATGCATAAAATAATGCATAAATAATAATGCATAATAATGCATAAATGTACAAAATCCGATGTCTAAATAGCATAAACTAGCTAAAGGTAGACCAAGTGGACCCCTTCACTCGGTCTCCCCACCAGAGGGTGGGAGATCGTACGGAAAACCACCTCAACAAATTGATTTTGCGGTTTCCACTCGGAGCGATATTTCACGATTAATACACTTGTAATTACTAATTGCTTGATATTTATAACAATTCCTCTTGCCAGCGGTATTGTTCTACTGCATTGTGCTACTTCATCATCTAATATTTTAATGAAAACAACTGATAGAAAACAACTGATCAAAGCATGAATTTCTCGAAGTGTTTAAAGATTTAACGTTCATTATTTTCAGCTGTTTATTATTTATAATAATTCTTTTTACTAGCAGGATTCCCTCGACTGTTCTATCGTCGAACGTTTGTAATAGAAATAATCAGCGAAACTCGAAATACAGAGTGATTTTAAAACACGATCGTTTTGAGAAGTATTTACGTCGATTTCGTTGTATAATAATATAAATAATATTTACGTTCGATTTTCACGCCGAACAAATTTCAGGTACACAAAGAGTATATATACGGCTGTGAAGTTCATAGTCTTAGCCACTGCGATAACGACAAATCTCGCAGTAATTTTCGGCAGCCTAAACCTAATTACCGTAAGTACATCCGATGCAGAAACTCGCGTGTGCGCTCGACTTTCGTGAATATTTATGCAAATACAAACCGTTGAACAGAGACAGCCGTTAACCTTGAAAATTTTATACGCCCTCGTCGTGGTCAGCGCCAGCGGAGAACTCTTCGTGTATTCCTGGTCGGCCGACAGTTTGGTACAACAGGTAATGAAGCAAACGTATCAAAAGTTACACTCCGATCTTATTGTTTATTTGTACCTTTGTGAAGACTACATATACCGGCACGAAAGCTTACGATACAGATTGGTTCCAACTTGATGCCAAATTACAAAAGAAGGTCTACTTCATGATATTCAGGTCACAGAAATGTGAAGCAATTCAAATAAGCGGTTTACTACCACAAATTTCATTGTCCTATTATGCAAAGGTAGGTCCTTAAAAAAATTATGATGTAATATTTCACTTACTTTTCTATTTTTGTTAAAAGTGTTGAAAATTAATCAGGGACAAATATAGACGGTGTCCCAGAAAGGTCTCGTAATCCGGAATCGGGGGGTTCCTGAGGTCATTTGAAGGAACTTTTTCCTTAGCGAAAATGCAATCTGCGGCTTCGTTTACGAGTTATTAGCGAAACACACTGACCAATAAGAGGCGAGCTCGGATGACGCGAGGCGGCCGAGCCAATGCGCGGAACTGAAGCTTCGACCGCTCATTGGTTCGGCCGCCTCGCGCTAGGAGAACTCGCCGAGCCAACGAGCGCGCGGAGCCCAGTTCCGCTGATTGGCTCGGCCGTCTAGCAGCAGCCGAGCTCGCCTCTCATTGGTGATCGATTTTCGTTAATAACTCGTAAACGAAGCCGCAGGTTGCATTTTCGCAAATAGAAAAGTTACTTCAAATGACCTCAGGAACTCTCCATTTCCGGATTACGAGATATTTTTTGGACACTTTGTATGTGAACACTCTTTAAAACGGTATATAACTTTGTTTAAAACTGAACTAAACGAGTTGAATTTTTTTTTTTAGTGCATTGTCCAGTGTTAAAAATGATATACCGTAATGTAAATGTTTGTAATATGCGACTCGAATCATTCAATTAACAACTATTTTCATTTGTTTTCAGTTTCTGTCCACAGCATTTTCTTATTTCACCACGTTACGTATAATAGTTGAAAAATCCAGCATCAGTTGAGATTCCAATTGATATATAAATTTAGTATATTTTAAATTAAAAATATACAATCTATTAAATTTCATAAATTCAAATTAAATTTAGTTTAATTTACATGTTCGCCAGTCAAAGGACGTAAATAATTATAAAGCACAATGAATGATACAAAATTGAATTACTAAATTTCTTAAATACAGGTTTCTAATTGGTAGTCAAACCTGATTTACATAAGTTCGTTAATTCAACCGACCAATCGCACTGTTCGGTGAAGAATCAGAGGGTGTGCGACCAGGTCGGCACCAGAAACGAGGTACTATAAGCACAGTTCACATCCATCGGGATTTATGGAAACCACTAAGTCAGGTCTGAAATGCCGATATCACTAGCAGCCCCTGGTTTTCTATGCCCTCTACAGTCTAGAACGAGAAATGCTGGAACCGCATCGAATTAATCGATGAATCTTGCTCAGGCGGTAAATGCTGGAAATAAATAATTGACGAAATACATCTGTAATTTTTACATTACGCCAGTAGTTCTCCCTGAAGCCCCGAAATGTAAGTACCAATCACTCAATCCATTTTTATTGATATAAAAATTATTTTTACAATTTCTGAGTGNGCTCGAATAATCGTGTCCCCTCTTCCCAAATTGTCCATTTTTGTGCACGATCAGTAAGGGAGACATTACTGTAGTGACAATGAAGACTAAATTAAGGTCAAATTAAATGAAAATATAATATTTAAAAGTTAAATTCCTTATACAGAACTAAAAAGAATGTTTGTTTTTAATGAATCTATCTCCGTGTTATAGGAGGGTTTCGTGTACTAATTATTACGATTTTGTTTTCATCTATCTCGACTAATGTACCACTTCGACAGTGATGAAACGCGTTCGAAAGAACGAGTTTATAAACATTGCAATCGAAATGGTTGACGATGCAAAAATCAATGTCCAAGAAAGCAACATTTTTATCGAACAAAACGTGCAAGTTAATCGATCAACGTGCGAACACGATAGAATAATAAATATAACCGTGCCATCGTTCGTTTAAAATGACCGACGAATTAAGTGGAATTTCTGTGTTATTTCTGATTCTGGTATTTGCGACACCGAGTTTGGTTTTCGGCCTCTATAAACGGGGGTAGGGAAAGCTCTGTGTGAAAATTTCTCGCGCGACACGTTGTTCAAATCGAATGAAAAATTCCAATCGACTCCGGTCAATTCGAAAGGCAGATGCCAAGCCATCCAAGAAATTGGGGACCGCGCGTCGACTCCAGTCAAAAATCAATTTCCGATGCGATTAAAGCCCCGCGGATGAGCAGCGTGTTGCGTATCGGGCCGGGTATCCGATGAAACGTATCGGCGATTCCGTTGTTCGCGTGACGTCCACGGCAAACAAACGAGTCGGAATGCGAACCGTTTCCACCCGCGCCGTACCCCGTAATAATATGATAAATTCAGCCGATCAATTTGCTTCGGCCCCCGCGGATATTCCATTAAACGAAACACCCGGTTTAGCGCAAATAAACGTTCCGCACAGTGACGGACGACCACCGCTGGCCCACGTTTTTACATCTGTGTCGCGCGATTCCCGCGCAGTTTGCGAATTATTATGCAGTAGTAGCGTTAATAATACGACGCCGCGTGGCCGTAGTTTGCACGGTACACACCGTTATTCGGCTACATAAATGCTGCGCGTGGTCCGGGCTGGTTCTAGATAATCAAGGAGAATTTACTTTTCGTCGCGCATATTGAAACCAAACCGTATCGACGAGCAGTCTACAAACACACACGCACACACATACGAAAAAAAAGCCGAGCAGGACGTTGCGCTTTTCGGTTATGCCAACGGTATTTCGTATCGATATATCCGGGGTTTACACGTTCACGTAGTTATTATAATTACCTGACGATCTACACGAACGCCACGCGGAATGCAAACGCGTGCTAGCTTTATTCTTCCTTTATTACAATTGATTATTGTCGAGCTTAATTCGATGCCGAGCTAAACTCGTGATGAGAATTTCGAACGGAACTCGTTGAACGCGAATGTGGTGTCGTGAAAATAAAACGGCGGCTCGGCAGCCGATCAGTGTGGAAGTCTATTAAAATTCGAACGGCGGACTCTCCTGGGTCTGTTTGGACCCGGACTCGAAGAATTCATACCGCGAGTGTCAAATTTCTGACAGCTAATTTCAATTTTCACATGTTCCGACGAAACCAACGTATCTGAAATGAATACCGTAACAATCAACTTGGATACGATTCTTTTGATTGACGCTGGCAATAATAGCTTGGAAATTTTAGATTTCAAAAAAAAATTTTCGAAGATGGCGGTATTATAAATTCGTAAAATTAAGATATGTCGTCCAAGAATTTTTGTATTTGATTCTTAGTTAAATAAGCACAATGCTATAGTTAGTTTGCTGACTTTTAACACCCAAGAAATGAGCCGTTTATTTTGAAAGTGGCATAAGTCACTTTACCGTAATGAAAAGTGGTAATTTTTCAATGTTTATACGAAATTATTTATACTGAGAAAAATATCAGTATCCTGAGATAACAAATACAAGTAAATCTTCTCGAAAGTTAGCATCCATATTTTGAAACGTGTTAAAACGCAAACCCTTAAATATATCGACTTAAAAACAAAGTGACTTATGCCACTTTCAAAATAAACGGCACAAATATAGTTCAAATGTTATTTCAGTTTTTTTCAAATGGCACCAATTAACCCCTTAACGCGCAGAAACGTATTAACACGGGCGTGCAAAACCGGCCAAAATGTGCAGACCCGTATATATACGGTCGGCGTCGCAACTTATGTTATGTTACCTATATTAATTGAAAAACAGTACGATGGGTACAAAATTCGATCTGCAATGCGATTCAATATTCATTATAATTAATTATCCACTATTTTTATTGGATTTTTAGTAATTTTTGTATTTTTTATTCATATTTTTTGAAATTAAGGTCCAAATATGTATTTTCTTAGATAAAAAAAATTGATTTTTTTTGGTCGATTTTTTTTTTTAAATTGTGCATTAAGGGGTTAAAACGGTATCACCGGCATACAACGGATATTTTTTGCCGCCGGACGGCATAGTGTTAAAATACACGAATACATTTAGTCCTCGCGATATAATCGCAGTTTAAACGCGAACTATTCCTTCGCGAAGCGCGAACTCGTCGTAACAGAAAATATTGCCGCAAGTATACTCGTCGGAAACAGGTAACCGGCGAACGGCAGCCATAAGCGCTTTTGATAGCAGTCGCGAACGGCGTTCGAAAAAAGGAAAAAAAAACACAAACATATTCGTATCGTCGCCGGGCGAGTAATCGCATGCTCGATATGGTTTTCGGCGCGATCGAGCGCACCGAAACCGTGTCTCATAAATTCGCGGCTGTCGTCGGGCATGCGGTACGGCCGGGCGTGACAGTATAACTCGTGTACATAAAACTCTTATAGCGTGAATGGCGATATAAAGTTTAATACGGCCTCGAACTTTCGCGGATTATGATCGAGAAGGCTTGTCTCGCTGGCGCGGGCCGAGCGTTTCCCCGGCTACGCTCCGTCGCCGCGCGGCGCGGCGCGTCGCGGCATCGCAAATTCGAAACGTTTCTTTAAGGCATGAGGACATCGGGGCTTTTATAACCGGCGAGAAGCTTACTCAGGAATTTTAGAGCTACTCACCGCGCGGCTCTCTTCCGTGGAAGTTGTAACTCCCCGGCGTTCGTATATATGGAAAGTTCCAGCCTGTAATTTCACTCGGCGCCGTCGTCGGCCAACGTGAAAATACACCGTCGGTCGTTCCGCCGCGTCGTCGACGCAATGCGATTTTTAGTTTCCGATTTCGTCGTCGCATTGCGCGCGTGAATCGATCCCGTCCCTGTCCAGAATGGAAGAAACGATCTCGCAGATGATGATCCAGTGATCGTCCATCGTTTCTCTTCGCATGATAATAGCGCGCGATATCGATCGCCAGTATGTTCCCGTTGAACGGTAAGCACAATTTTATCATCTGCCGACAATACAGTGCTCGAACGGATTGGCAGACAGTCACTTGGCGCTCTGTGTTTATTTAGCTGTCGACATTATTTAGTCTGGAAGATAAACACGCACGCTCGAATTAGGTTCGCCGAAACACGTTCACGCCGGCACACGATGCTTCGAGCATAAAGGCGTTCGAGGCTGAAATCATAGATTTCGAACTTTTTAGTTTTATTTAATTTAAGGAGCAGGTATGATAATCATTTTTTATAGGTAATATAATATAATTAGTATAATAATAATAATATAATATAATTAATATAATAATAATAATATAATATAATTAATATGATGATAATAATAATATAGTATAATTAATATTATGGTAATATAATATAGTTTTGTAGGTAAGATTAATCGATTTGTACATGAATAATATATGGTTCTGTTAATAAAGATTGGGATTTATTTAATTACTTATTTTTAAGATTGAAAATGTTAATTTTGAACGAAATATTTAGTGCATTTATTTTCCGACTCGTTAAATGATTCGAAAATTTATCTGAAAAAAAGAAAAATAGGATAGAGAAAACAGAATATTGGTAGATTGTTGTAAGATTTTTTTTTTACAAAATTATAAGAATTATAATTCTATATATTATATATATAGAATTATGGCTATTTTGTACGAAAGTTTACTTTAAAGAAACTAAAGCAATAATTGTTTATTTGTGTGAATTATTACGTATGCGTGTATATATATACGCGTGGAAAACGCAGTAAAAAATTTCATCGGAAGAATTTCTTGAAATTGTTACATTCTCCTTGATTTGTTAACATTGTTAAAAGGAGAATTACGTTCCTATTCGACTTCTGTCTTTTGCAATTCAGACAGACAATTTTTACTGTGCACACAAATCCGCGGTGTAATAATTACAGTTTTATTTTGACAAGACAACATTCTATAATAACAACAGACACATTCTATAGACAATAACATTTTATAGACAAGATAACATTCAACAAC